ACTATATGCGACGCCAACAAGGCTCGAGGACCAAAAGGAAACTCAACAAATAACAAAAGAAAACGTCAAAATCAAAACAAAAGCAAAAAGGGAACATGTATCATCAAACGTCGTCTTACATCGGCGGCATCTGAACCACCGAATCGCGAATCGCCTCGTCAACATGCCCCCTCCTGATCCCCGGACACGGCCCCAAGCACACAGCCTTGGCCGCCAGCCGCATGATCAAGTTGTCCAGGTTGAACATGATGTTGATGTGCTCCGGGTTGTTGTTCTGGTGATGCATCGCCATGTCCATGGGCAAGACGTGGGCGTCCTCCGTCGCCCACGACGTCGGCGTAAACATCTTCATGCCCGACGGCACGACCTGGACGTCGCGCTGCTGGCCAAAGACGGTGTAGTCGGGGTTGGTAGCGGCAGGAAAGGTCTCGAACGAGGAGGCGTCGGCCGGCATCAGCAAGGGGTCGATGAAGTTTGCGTTTGCGTTTGCGTTTGAGCTTGTGAGGGGGCCTGGGTTGGTCTGCCGGACGAGGCGGACGGGATTGTGCCTGTTGACCTCGTTGAGGTCCGTCGGCTGCGCCGCGAGGCCGACGTCGAGGGGGATTGCTAAGTTGAGCATGTCAGTGTTTGGAGAGTCTTGCCGGATGAAAATCCCCCGCTGCTCGAGATACTCCTCGACGTCGGACGCCTCCAGCCACTCGCCCTGCAGGTCCGGCAGCGCCGTGGACAGCACCGTGCGGGTGCGGCCGAACCGCAGGCGCTGCAGGTTCGGGGGCGCCATCCGCGGCACCATGGAGCCGGACTGGCCCTCGACGAGCCTCAGCATCTTGGGCAGATGCCTGCTGGCCAAGGGGCTGTGCTCGGCGTCGAGCTCGAGCTCGTCGTCCTCGATGTGGATGTAGCGCATGGTCCGCGACAGCAGGTTGTCGCGGCGGTCAAACTGCAGCGGCAGAAGCATGGCCGGCAGCAGGCACATGACGGGCGAGCTGGTGAGGTTGAGGATGCCCGCCGCCCGGTCCACGCACGCCCGCATCAGCCGCTGCGAGATGGTGACGGGCTTGGGCCGCAGGTGGTGGTGGTGGTGGCTGGAGGAGGAAGCGTCCCGCGCCTCCTGGGACAGGATGTAGATGGAGTCGTCGTCCTTACCGTGAGAGTCGGTCACCGTGGCCAGCAGCCCGTCGGCCTGGTCAAACGACGGCCACTCGTCGGCCTGGGCGCTGCGGGCAATGGCCATGATGTTCATGGCCGTCTTGTTGAGCTGCAGCACAAACTCGGACGGCAGGTCCTTTTCGTTGCCCGACGAAAGCTCGTGGAAGCGGATGAACTCGTCCAGCGAGCTGTTGAGGGCCTTTTGCAGGGCGTCAGCCCGGGCCTTTGTCGTGGCGAGCTCATTCTCTTTGCGGCTGCGGTAGGACCGCTGAGCGAGTCGCATTCGAGACCGGCGCTGTGATGGGGAGAAGAGGACAGAGTTAGTCTTCAGTTTGTTCTTGTTTGTTTTGTGTTCTTTTCCTTCTTCTTGTCTTGTCTTCTTGCGGAAGCGGGTGTGTTTGTGTGTGTGTGCAAATTTTCTCTCTCTCTTTTCTTCTTCTTCTCTACAACACTTGTTGGTTTACACAAGGAGCAGCAACAAAACAACAAGGTGAGGCCATTTTGAATCTCCCCCCCTTTTTTCCCACTCTGGCGCCTTGCCTTGATTTTGTAGAAACCAGACAGGGGAATTTGTCGGCTCGCTTCTTCGCTCCTCGTCTGGCCGTTGGCTCGCTCTCGCTCCCACTCACCGAATTATCGTTTGGATCCGCGGGCAGGCTGTCCTTCATACGTGGACGACCGGGCCGTCGCTTCGTAGGAGCGTCCACGCCAGTATCCGCAATCGTACCCGCCGTCTTGCCGCTACTCGCGCTCATGATTAGAAAAACGAAAGGATTTCAAACAGAACAAAAGTGTGTGCCCCTTGAACAGCGTGATTCGACGGCAGATTAATGGCGATGGATCACTGATTTGTCTTCAATTTGTCTCTCTTTGAACAACATTGGATGGTTGACCGTCGCTCCTGGACGCTGAGTGCCGGAGATGACAAATATTTAAATTGTCGCGGTGAGACAAATTAAATCAGGCGAGAGCCGCCTATTAGTTTTGCTCCGGGCTCGACCCACTTCTCCGCTACTCCGCCCAGGGCCTGAGGAGACGGACCCGGAGCTGAGCCCGGAGTTGAAGCCGGCACTAAGTTTTTGGGTGCTGTTTTCGGATATAGTATTTATGTGATTCGTGCCTCGAAAAGGGAGAGACTTGATCAGCAGTGGGTGAGTCGGACATAGCGGCTTTTGCAAGCTCTCGTGCGGTCGTACGTGGTAGGCCTCGATGCTTCCAGTTGTGCGGATTTCGCTGCGAAGCGAGTCGGTGACCATGACGTTATGCGATGTGATGTGGGATGCCCGCGTTGGTCAGGTATGCTGTGTTGGCATTGGTGAGGATTGATGGTCAAGTGGGAGCAAACACAACATTGCTTAGAATATCGGCCTCGCAAAGCTGTCGCCTGTGTTCTTTCTCGACATCAATCTGAGCGTATATAAACCGGCGTGGCTCGACTGCCACCACCCAGACCACCAGCACCAGCTTCAATCCAACAGTTTCATCGACATCATATCCATCATTCTCAAAGAATTCCAACAATCTCAAATTAGCCTCCCTCCAACTTTTATCAAAATGCCTGCCACCGTCTTGAAGCAGCTCGGCAAGAATGGCCCCAAAATCCCTCCCGTCGGATTCGGTGCCATGGGCATCGGCATCGACTGCTACGGCGCAACTGGGTAAAGACAAAAGTCGACGGGATTCTCCAATCACTTCAACTAACAAATGGCATCAGCAACGACGAGGAACGGTTTGCCGTGCTCGACCACGCGTGGAAGATTGGCTGCACTCACTGGGACACCTCGGATGCCTACGGCGACTCGGAGATGCTCATCGGCAAGTGGTTCAAGCTGCACCCCGAGCGTCGTGCCGACATCTTCTTGGCCACCAAGTTTGGTATTCTGGCCGAGGTCCAGGCGGACGGCACCTACAAGGGATCCGTCAACAGCACTCCCGAGTATGCCAAGACTGCCTGCGAGGCGAGCTTGAAGAAGCTCGGAGTCGACTATATCGACCTGTACTATGCGCACCGAGTCGACGGAAAGACGCCCATTGAGAAGACGGTCCAGGCCATGGTCGAGCTGAAGAAGTAGGAAGCCCATCTGTCCAATCCCCAATGTCGACGATATTCTTTATATACTAACCAGGGGGGTCAACAGCGAGGGCAAGATCAAGTACTTTGGCTTCTCTGAAATCTCCGGAGACAGTCTCCGTCGGGCATGCGCCGTCCACCACATTTCCGCCGTCCAGATCGAGTACTCGGCCTGGGCTCTCGAGACGGAGGGCCCCGTGTCCAAGTACCTCCTCAAGGCCTGCCGCGAGCTGGGCGTCGCCACCATCGCATACTCGCCCCTGGGCCGCGGAATGCTGACGGGCCAGTACACCAACACGGCGGAGCTGGAGAAGACGGACTACCGCAACAGCGTCGAGCAGTTCAAGGGCGACAACCTGAAGAAGAACGTGGAGCTGCTCGACAGGTTCAAGGAGGTGGCCGCCAACAAGGGCTGCAGCCTCTCCCAGCTGGCGCTGGCCTGGCTGCTGGCCCAGGGCGACGACATCTTTCCCATTCCCGGCACCAAGAAGACCAAGTACATGGACGACAACTTCGGCGCTCAGGACGTCCGTCTGACTCCGGGCGAGGCCGGTGAGATCCGGAAGCTGGTGGAGAATCTCGGAGTTGCTGGCGACCGGGATGTGGCCTTTAACCAGTATGCTGACACGCCCGCTCTGTAAGGGGCTGATGATGGTGGTAAAACTCCGAGTCGCGGAATTGAGCCCCGGGGGAGGAGATGTTTTTAGAAGGCGTCCATGTAACGTGTTATCAAGAGGAAAAGCAAAGATTGTTGTTTTTTGTTCTGTTCCGTTCTCTTCTGTTTGTTTGTTTGGTGACGATGACTTTTGTTTGTTTGTTTGTTCTTGTTTGCCGTACGACATGTGTCATTTACAGCGTGACAGGCAGAGTGGATGGACAACGTGACTGCGCCGCTCATGTACCTATGCGGTAGCCCGTGTCGGCAGCCCGCCTGGCTTGTACTCGTATGCGAGATAAATCCAACATCGTCCACTGCATTTTTCTCTCACATTTCTATATTTAGCCTCAACTGCGCTCAGCTGTGAAAAGGCCTCAATCCCGCCCGCAGGACAGGCGATACTTGCAGGTACTTTGTCTCTGCTGAGATCCAGTCTCGAGGCACAAAATACAGGCAGAGCATTGAATCGTCCGTCTGTTGAGTTCAGTTTCACCTCCCGGACAGCAATCAATGGTAGATTCGGTTCGAGCATCTTATCACCATGTCCATCATTCACTCATATCCATCCATTCTTCAATCCTACTCTTTTTTTTTTTTTCATCGCCGACCCGGTGATTATGTATTTTTTTTTTTTTCTTCGCCTCTGACGCCGTTGTTGGTTCCTCTTCCACGTAGCAATTCCAATTCTCAATGCAACTTGTCGCGTCGCACGCATTTACTATTGATGCCTTGCAGCAGTCCATCGTAAATCATTTCCCCTTTCTCTCTCCAACCGCCACAGCTCCCTCTCCCTCTCTCTCTCTCCCTCTCCCTCTCCCCTTTTTCTCACCATCCCGAAGTCAGAGCCTTGATATTCCCCCCCCTCCCAAATTCCTCAACCCCAAGCGGCTGGCCCATCCTCATGCGCCAAAGACAGCAGCCTCCAGAAGAAGAAAAAAACATCGTCAGGGAATGTCACAGCAAAACTCCGGCGCAGACTCGCATCGCCCCGCACGCGAATCTCGGCCAGCGGCAGCCAAATCCATATAGGCTAATTGATTGCCCGCTCGTCGACGAAAAACCATGTGTACTTTTTTCTGGTGCCACGTCCTCTGCCCGTGTCCGTATGAAAAGGACTGCGCCATGGCCAGGAACCGCATCATCTTCTGGGACGGCCTGTGGCGTCACAAGACGGCCAAACAGGCCCCGGTTCCGAACTCCGGCACGACGTGTGAGAAGCGCAAGGAGAGGTCCGGGCAGGACGCCGCGCCCGACTGGAAATGTCCGTTCCGGGACCTGCTGGGGTGGATGGTGGAGTTGACGTATGTCATTGACACGAAGCCGTGTGCCGAGTGTAGACACAAGTGCAAGGCTCGCTTTGACAAGAGGATCGAGGAGGAAGAAAGGGCAGCTGAGCGGGAAAGGCAAGGGGGGGATATACCACAGTGATTCCAACGGTTTGGTTTGGTTTGGTTTGGTTTGGTTCGGTTGGATGTTATGGGTGATGACGACATGACGCATGATGAGATGCCGATATGAGTTTGTTCGAGTGCGAAATGATTTCAGCCTGGTATTGGACGAGTCGTGGGATGGGTAATGGGATGAGAGGCGGCCCCTTGGATGGATAGGGGGCTGGCTTTCCGGTTGCGAGACACCGGTACTTGATGGTATCCCAGCGCCATCTTTATTGCATGATTGATGTTGGCAAGCATGAGCAAGACTGTCAGTCAAGGTATTCGAATTACATAGCTTGTGATGTACGAGAAAGAACATGAAAGCATACTGTTTCCATGCAGAGGACACGTTGCAGTGTCTCATCATCTATTCTCATCTCATCATTACAGTAACAAGAGGTGATGATGAATGAAACATACAGAACAGTCTCCAAATGCCATAATGAGGAAAGCGATCACGGTGTGTATAGTTAAAAGTGTCCGTAGAAAGATAGGTACATATCTCAAGAGCCCCCTGATGAGATTCCTCACAGCACATCGTAGTCATGCCCAGAGCCCATGTACATTCGACTAGAAGCCATGATAGAGTCTCTCATTACATACCAACACCATTCCAAATACATCCCCCATCCGATATTCCTTCAACACCAATCTGGGTTACACTAAATCTATACGCACATGTATGCACTCAGGAGCTGCTGCGTTACCCTGCAGGCAGTCATGCAATCCACAACTGCAAGGCTGAGCATCCCTCCATCCCTCCATCCCTCCATCTCCAACCGACCAACCCCCAGTTCACTGCCCTCCCCAACACGGCAATAATGACCAAGACGAAACAAAAAAGAACCTCTTCATCCTTTCGTCTCTTGGCCCGGAAATTTCCCCGGATGGCATAATGCACTCACAGCTTTCCCCGCAAACACGGACAATTATGCAACCAGCCAAATTGCGGGGAGGGAGGATTTGTCCCGGCAGTGTCGATCTTGGCCTCACCAGAGACTCATCCGAGGCCCCGATTTTCAAGCCATGTACGAGTGCAGCAGCCTTCTCTACCAAGGATTCCCAGAAACGTAGTCTAAATGTATGCAGATACTTCTCCCGGAACGGCAGTTGCTTGCGCTGCTCACAACGTGGAGAAGCATCATCGTGCCATGGAAGATCCCCGCAGCGGGCAGGCAAAAATACCCGTCGGCTCGACTGTGATGCCACATATAAAAACAAGGCAATTTGTTACAAGGATGAGTTTTGGTTTTCTATGGGCAAAGAGGTTTCTTTCCCTTTTCGATTGATTGGAGAAATTCCTCAATATGAAGGTTGCTGTTGTGGCCGCGTTGGCCATGAGCCAGACTGGTGTGGCGGCGAGGAAGTTTTGGACCTCGAAGCCGGCTGATCCGGGGAATGTGTTGATGACTGGATTTACGATTGGGAACGGGAGACAGGGAGGTGAGTTTGGCTGAATATGGCAGACGGATGGACTGTGGTTGTCAGTGGCTGACTGACGAATGACCACATAGGCTTACCGCTGGGTATTCCTGGTGATGACTTGCTCTGTCTCAATGATGACAGCATCTGGCGCGGTGGCCCGTTTGCAAACTCGGTAAGACATTTACGGTTGGTCACATAGACTGGCAACTAAGACGCAGATAGAGCTACACGGGAGGAAACCCTTCATCATCGCTGGCTCACTTCCTGCCCGGAATCCAGCAGGCCATCTTCCAGAACGGAACAGGAGGCACGTTGCCGATACTAGCAGCGTATTAAGAGACGCCGCTAACCCTTGTCATCAGATGAATCTGCATTATACGGCGGAACAGCAGACTACGGCTCCTACGAAGCCCTTGCCAACCTCACAGTCTCCATTGAGGGAGTGACCAAGTACTCAAAGTACAAGAGAACGCTGGACCTGGAAACAGCATTGCACAGCGCCGAATTCACTGCAGACGGAGCCACTTTTTCGACGTACGTGAGGCATCACCTCCTTTTCAGACCTTTGTACTTACTCTTGCGTCTAGTGTGCAGTTCTGCTCCTTTCCCGACCAAGTCTGCGTCTACCACGTCAGCTCCAACAAACCACTACCCCGAATCACCTTTGGTCTGGTCGACAATTATCGCACCAACCCGCCTTCCACTGTCAAATGCTCATCCAGCGGCATCTGGCTGAGCGGACGAACTGTGGCCAACGACGGCGAGGGTCTCATTGGCATGAAGATTGATGCCCAGGCCCGCGCTCTTCCTTCTGCCGGACTAAAAGCCACATGCAACAGCAACGGCCAGACCGTTCTCAGCACAAGATCTGCAAAGTCGGCCACCATTGTCGTGGCTTCGGGCACAGAGTACGACGCAACCAAGGGCAATGCTGCTCACGACTACTCCTTCCGAGGAGCGGATCCGTATCCTGGCGTTGTAAAGACGATAAGTGCCGTGTCCAAGAAGAGCTACAACACGATCCTTGACAGCCACGTAAAAGACCATGGCGAGTGGTTTAACAAGTTCACTTTGGATCTTCCCGATCCCCATAACTCTGCAGACGTCGACACGATGGATCTGATTGCAAACTACTCGACAGAAAAGGGAGATCCCTTCATTGAGAATCTGCTGATTGAGTATGGACAATACATGTTCATTGCTTCGTCGCGGCCGGGATCGCTGCCCCCGAATCTGCAGGGTTCATGGGCTCCGGATGGAAACCCGGCGTGGAGCTCCGACTACCACATCGATGTCAATGTGCAGATGTAAGCAATCACCTTGTCTGAACTTGGGTCATCTAGTTTACTGACAGAAGTTCCATCAGGAACCACTGGCATGTCGAAAAGATGGGCTTGGGCGGCCTGACTGATCCTCTCTGGGACTTTATGACTTACACCTGGGTTCCTCGTGGGACGGAGACGGCAAACCTATGGTACAACGTGAGCGGCTGGGTTGCCTTTACCAATCTCAACATCTTTGGCCATACGGCGTGAGTTATCAAGCAGATTGATTGCGGATTCTTCTTCTGACGTTGAGTAGCCAGGAAAACGACGCAACTTGGTCAAACGTTGCACACGACATTGCCTGGATGAGTACGTGTCCAATCGTTGGTGACGGCAGAGAAAGGGAAGCCATTGCTAATCACATTCGATAGTGGCGCACGTGTGGGATCGTTACGACTATGGCCGTGACAAGAAATGGTATGCCTCTGTGGGATATCCCCTCATGAAGGGCGTGGCGAGCTTCTGGGTCGACATGATGGTGCCGGACGAATACTTCAACGACGGCACCTTGGTTGCCAACCCTTGCAACTCTCCAGAGCATGGCCCAACGGTAAGTTGAGTCTGGAACCATCTCGTTTTTAGACAAGATGCTGATTGAAATTTGATAGACTTTTGGGTGTGCTCAGTTCCAGCAGGTGGTCTGGGAGCTCTTCGACCACATCATCAAAGATTGGGATGCGTCGGGTGATCCTGACACGGCCTTTTTGAAGCGGGTCAAAGAATCGTACAGCAAACTTGATCCGGGCGTCCATGTTGGAAGCTGGGGCCAGATCCAAGGCAAGCGTTTTTTGCCCGTATCAAAGAGACTGACAAGCTAACCGCCTCTGCAGAATGGAAGATGGACATTGACACCAAAAACGACACGCATCGTCACTTGTCTCACTTGTACGGATTCTACCCCGGCTATGTCATCTCCAGCGTCTACGCAGACAACAAGACCGTCATGGACGCCGTCGCCACCAGCTTGTACTCTCGCGGAAACGGCACCGAGGACTCCAACACGGGCTGGGAAAAGGTCTGGCGAGGAGCGTGCTGGGGCCAACTGGGCGTCACCGACGAGGCATACAAAGAGCTCAAGTACACCATCGACATGAACTTTGCGGCCAACGGACTGTCGGTGTATACAACTGGCAGCTGGCCGTATGAGGTCACTCTGCCCTTCCAGATCGATGCCAACTTTGGTCTTTCGGCGAACGCGCTGGCTATGCTGTATACCGACCTGCCCAAGAAATGGGGCGACAACAGCGTTCAAAGGGTGATTCTCGGACCGGCGATTCCCAAGGAATGGGCTGGTGGAAGCGTTAAAGGAGGGAGTCTGAGAGGAGGCGGGACGGTCGATTTCAGCTGGGACGACGAAGGAGTCGTGAATCGGGCGGTGGTGCACGGGAGAAGGTTGCCGCTGGTGGTGGTGAATAAGAATGGCAAGGTGCTAGCAAGACGCTGAAGAGAGAGAGACGATGTTGGCTGAAATAAATGAAGGAATAAAAGCACAGAACAAGCAGCAAATGTTGTTGTGCAGCAACCTTGATCTCGGTCTCTTTGAATTGAAGGCGGATGATTAAAGATGGAAGATGCGAGGTGGAGATTTGGGATCAAGAAAAGAAACGCACTGGAAGCTCCCCCTAAACTTTGCCGCTAAACAACCTTGGACGGGCGCCTGTAAAATACCCGGACATCAACCCCATCGATAAGGTAGAATTGAGCTTACCGCCCTTGTGCCTGGTGGCGACTGTGGCCAATGAATGACGCATTTGATCCCGCATCAGAGGCGTCACCAAAACTGGCGCTTGCACGGCCAACCAAGAGACGCCGTGATGACGTTTGCATGTGACGGGCGCCTGTTTTCCAAGAAGAAGATAAAATGGGAATCACCATGATGCTATTTAATGGGCTTTTGGGGTGGCGGCAGATGCTCTTTTGACGCAGGTTGAGCTTCTGCTTCTGTCTCTGCCTCTTCTTCTGCAACATACATCGGGGCCCTTCAGTGCTTCATCCGCTGCCGCATGCACTGAACTGATCCATCCAAAGCTCTAAAGCACCGACAGCCCCGCCGACGAACCATTGCAAACAACCCTGCGTCGTCACATCAATTTGATTTGATTGCGTTGCATCACATCGCATCGCATCGCATCGCCTGTACATTAAATCCTCGTCCCATCAACATCCAGGTTTGCCGGTATTGCTCAATACATCTTCGCCATCATCATCTCATCACCATCATGGCCTCTGGACACAATGTTCGCAACGGTCCCTCTCCAACGTTACCCCATAGAACCCCCGACTAACTCGCAACCTCGTCAGGACCCGAAGCTGCTCTACTCGGTCGAGGGCATCAAGGCTTACCACATCGCAAATGGCTCCGAGCAGTCTCTAACGCCCTCGGGGCCTCAGACCCTGTCCCTGCTCATGGTCCCAACCTCGTCTGGCTTTGCTGATGCCACCGGAATCGGCAACGGAGAGCAAGACTTCTATCTTCACCTCCATCTCCCCCCCGAGCTTGACCTTCCACTGCCCGCGACCACGCAAATCTACCACCAGCCCCCCAGCAGCTACCTGATTCCGCGATGGGATCTCGGCCCCGGCAACGGCGCATTCACACGCCTAGAGTTTCCCGTCGTCGGAAGCAGGCCTGGCGTGCAGGAGGACGTCGACACCTTTGAGACCATTCTGGCCCAGTGCACCGCATTCCTCGAGAGGGCGCCGGCTCCCCCTCCGGAAAAGCGCCGGCCTACCGAGCGCAAACCATCTGACGCTGCCAGGGCAAAGGCGAGAGAAGCTGGCAGAGATGAACCACCCGCCTATAACCCGGCCAACTTTGAGCCCGGCGAAGGTTATGCCCCGGGCAGCCATAGCTCGCACGTTGCGGGGCGCATCGTGTTGGTTGACGAAGAGGATGGCAGCGTCATGGGAGAGCTGAGCGATGGTTTCAATGTCGTCGAAGACAGTGCCATTAAGCCCGGGTCCAAAGGTGAGCATATTCCCCTGCCATGCCCCCCAAGTCCGCTGTTGCCAGAAGCTCACCTATTTCGTCTTTAGAACCCGTCGAGATTATCCTTCCCGCCGATGGCAGCCACAACATCTCCGTTCAGCCCGCCTACGACTACATCGAAGATGCTATGCACCCGGCATACAGAACATCGACTATTGTCTCGTCGGCGTCAAAGGCATCGCGGCTGCTTATTACCACATCCGACTATGTCGCAAAAGTAATGCAGAACCAAGCCGACAACTTGACCAAGAGCATGAAGCCTGCCGCAAAGCCCATGACATTTGCCCCCACCACCCACGATCACATACGCCGTATCAATCAGTATTCCACAAAGGTCGCCACCTTGTCGGCCCAGACCATTGGTTCCATCAATCAGTTTGCTCAGAATTTCGGCGCCGGCATGTCCAAGCGCAAGGATGGCCGGGCTCGAGGATATGACAAGGAGGGAAACGTCATCGAGACTTACAAGCCGGGCGTGCTCAACAAGAGCTTGATGGCCTTTAACACGGTCGTCGACGGCATGGAGCATGCTGGGCGGACTTTGCTTACCGGCACGACGGCGAGCATGTCCACGGTTGTTGGCCACCGCTGGGGCCCTGAGGCGGGCGAGCTCTCCAGAAACCTCGGAAGCGGGTTCAAAAACGTCGGACTCGTTTACATCGACGTTACCGGTGTTTCTCGTCGTGCCATTCTCAAGAGCGTTGCCAAGGGCATGGTTGTCGGCAAGGTCAAGGGAGGCGGCCAAATCATTGTCGGCGGCGACAACGGATCCGACGCAGCCCTTGTCTCTGGAGGCAACGGTAATGGCAATGGCAACGGCAACGGCAACGGCAGCAGCAGTGGAAGAGGCAACGGCAACGGCAGTGTAAGAGGCAACGGTAACGGCAACGGCAATGGCAATTCAAGCACAATACACAACACATACGGCGGCGAAATCAATATCCCCGGGAACAAAGATTGGGATGCAAAGGGGGTTAGGGAGGGGAAGAAGCCGGCCTGGTGATGTGTGTGTGTTGGAGTGTGTGTATGACTGGTGCTGTACATTGATACCACTGATATGAGTGATGACCACCTACCTATAGTAGTAGTGCATTTCGAACGCTATTTTGTAATATGATGTAAGCAAATACGATTCTTGACATGTTGAGACCATCAATTGTTGCTGCTCTCATGATTGATTGATATGTAGGTACGTATTTGCGACAACCGTTGTAGACTTTGCACCAAAGAATGAGAATCACGTGCGCACGCGGACAGGCGATGACGGCACAATTCCGCCAGCTCAAGATGGCTTCTAGAACCATCAATTTAACCAAACGCGTCAAAGAGGCGCTTTTCCTCTGCCACCAACGCTCTCTCCTTCGCCATGCACAAATCACGGATTCTCCGATTCTAAACGAATAATATCCAGCTTCAAATCGAAAAACTCACCGCCTGCGATGCCAATTCGCAGCTCGAATGCTTCGTTTGCTTGACCCCCGTCCGCCTTGAACCCCACCAACTGCACCGTGTCCCGCGATCCAAAGACAAAGATTGGCTTCAAAGCAACCAATGTGCCGATTCGAGCTCCTGGGCGTCGTTATTCTTATCGTTCAGCGCATCGGAGACTCGCTCAGGGCCAGAAAAGCCAGCAAGAGGTCCGTCACCAGCACGGAATGCTCGGCCTCTCATAGCTCTGACGCCTGACCTGACTTTTTTCGCATTCTCTTCCAGATCCTTGTCCTCGCAGCCCGAGCCATGCTCCACGAGATCCTCCTCTCTCTCTCGGGGCATCCGTCGCCTCTCCTCCGAGCCGGAGCTGCCGACTCGAGCCCGGTGTCCGGCGTCACGCCTTCGGAACGCCAGCTACTAGCCTCGGCGGCGCATCTCAGCGACATCCACATCAAGCTCATCAAGTACGCCGGCCAGACTGCCGGTGCTCACGCGTCGCCGATATGCAGGGCCGTGGGCACGGCGATCCAGTCGATTCACCTATCTGCTTTCCAGCGCAAGATATTGGAGGTGGAGGAGAGCATATTGAAGGAGGACCCGGAGCTGGTGGGCGAATACAACATCGTGCCTCTGACGGCCGTGATGGGAGAGTTCACCCAATGGACGAGGCGCTTTGAATGGCTCTGGGATATTGTTCAGTTCATGATGCTCAAGGACGAAAAGGGTCCCTGTCGTGGTTCTCAAATCATGAACCGTCTGCGAACTGAGCTGCAGAGCGGCTATCGGGACGTGGAAGAGGCGGCGATGAGCTTGGTCAAGGTGGCAGAGACTGCATGGCTGAAACAGGTGTCGGCTTGGGTTCTCTATGGGAGACTGCCGAACTTGGGAGGCAACGACTTTTTTATCCAAAAGGTGGACGGGACTGCCGAGTACATTTACGAGCCAGAACTTCTCCCCGGGTTCGTCACGCCAGCCACAGCGACGTCGATGCTCTTCATCGGCAAATCACTCAACCACACGCGCGTTAGAGCAACAGTCGACTCGGGCATGGGAGGATTAGATCACCTCTCGACAAAGCTTCAGGAGTTGGCCAGTCTGTCTTTCCCCGTCAATGGCGCCACATTCGCGAGAACCATTGTCTCGATTCGACTATCACTCTCACAAAATACCCTTCAAAAGATCTTACCCACAGCAAAAGTCATTGAGACGTTGCAGCTGCTCCGAGAATTCTTCCTACTGGGAAGGGGAGAGTTTGCCATGGCCTTGACGCAGGAAGCAGACGACAGAATCCGAAACCGCTGGAGAAGAGCAGGCAATCTAGCGCACGAGAGCAAAGACGGGGTGAAAAACGTGACCGTGAAAGACGGAGAAGTCTCTGCCGTTTTGGCAAGGACCTGGGCCGTCCTCGTAGCCATGCAGCGGAACCAAGTAGAAGAAGACGAGCTGCTAGAGCTCGCAAGAGACTTACTTCGGCTACACCTCACAAAGGCCAGCCTCACGCCCGTCAACGTCAGTCCAGGCCTCAATGCCGAGGAAGCCAAGTTGCTTGCCTCGTCACCATTCCGAAACCTGCTCTTTTCAACTCCCGTAATTCTGTCCATTCAGCTGCCGTCCCCCCTCGACATGGTCGTCTCACCCTCCGACCTCCAACTCTACTCCTGCATCAATTCTTACCTCATGTCTATGCGTCGAGCCCACATCCGCCTCACCGACCTATGGAAAATCACCTCCCTACGACGACATCATCCTGCACCCCGCGGGGCAACCGAATACGCCGGCATCCTCCGCGAGCGGTGGTCAGCCCGAGGAGCAGCCCTCCGGAGCTCCTGGACAACCGCCAGCGCAGCCATCTTCTTCCTCGGCGAAACAGAAGCATACTTTCAGACAGAAATCGTCGAGGGCCTCTGGGAAGGCTTCCTCACCTGGCTGACGGGAAAAGAACGACGGCGAGAAGGCGGTCGCTCCGGCGCCGCAACGCCAGCCGCACACTCCGCGAAACACAGCACCGCAACCATGGACTGGAGACCCAGCTCCTCCAGCAACGCCGCAAACCCAAACGACGTGTCCAAAATCCTCGCGCGTCCCGCCCCCGATCCGCAAACCCTCACGACCGCGCACTCCTTGTACCTCCGCACGCTCGTCCACCGTCTGCTCCTCACACAACCCGCCTTCACGAACCTCCTCTACACGCTCCTCAACCACATCGACCATCTCGTCACGCACATCCAGAGGCTACACTCCATATTCACGTCCATCGACCTCGAGACCGACGCCGGCGTGCTCGATTCTTCCACCGATCTCAACCGCGAAGAGCAGCACACCATGGCGCTCATACGGGGGGTGGAGGACAAGATCCAGAGGGGCATAGAAGACGTCATTGCTGCGCTGCGGGCCCTCGAGGGCGACGTCGAGTTTCTCGCAAGGTGGGAGGGCCTTGATGGCACGGAGGACGGGCATGAGGAGTATGGCGATGGGGAAAAGTACGTTCCTGTGAGGGTCGGGGGGATTAATCGTCTGTTGATGAAGCTGGACTTTGGATCGTGGATTACAACGCAGGGAGAGTATATATAGAAAGGAGTATGTGGTTTATTCATCTTAAACACTGGCGTCATCTTGTTATTTGTTATGCTAGGCGTTGTAGTATTTTTCATGTCAAATTCACTTCATACAAGGACGAGCAAAAAAAAAGGAAGCCATCAAGATGGAGCCAAATAATTTCGTTCTCAATTCATGGGAGCCCAAGAAAGCTCATAATATCCCAGCCAATCTATATGTGTACCAATTTATATACGCTATATCCAAATGCCATCATATCAGAGGTCATATCCATCCATAAATCCCAAAAAAGAACAGCGCAACAATCTCTCGGCGCTCAAATGATTCGCAAAGGGGGAAGGTTGTGATTAGAAGAAGGGAAAAAAAGCCAAAAAAAAAAAGAATTCCCAAGCGCCAGCAATGTATATGTGTATGTAATGTATCCCGTTATATATCCCTTATCCCATGCAATTATGCAAATCCCTTTTTTTTCTTCTCTCGCTCGTCATGAAGGTTGCGCTTCATGTTCACATCAAATTCCAAATTTCAAATTCCAAAATAAAAAAAAAGCAGACGCTCGCTAATGTCATGACATGTTCATAAAAAAAATCCTTTTATCTTTCCGGTCGTAATGGTTTGTACAAAGGAAAATGCAAGACAAATGAAAGGTTAAATGAGTGTGAGGTAGAGACTGGACGATGAGTGCGTCCCATCGCTTTATTCTATAATGTTTCGTAAGTCGTATTTCATGAGATGGTGATTGTGTTTATGTGTGTTTGTCGTGTTATTCAAGATTTACTGAGTCGTGTAGAGTTTCTTCTGTTTTTATAGAATGCGATGTGTCTGTTTCGGTTTCTGTGTTGATAGTATTTGTGAAGAAAAAAAATCTGTCGATGTTGTTTGCAAATGCACGCTTTAATAAGCGAGGACAGTGTGTCCCCTGAGGTTTCGCAGTGGGCCAAGAGCATGGGCTTTGTTCAATAGGCCGTGGACAAGAGCCTTTGTTCGGGGCTGTGGGGCCGAAACAGTGATGTTCTTGCTCACAACGGCGGTAGAAGGAGCGGCAGTGGCCGTGGCAGTCGCTCCAGGAGCCGTGTGAGGCCGGGCTGGGGTGGTGGGACGGGTGTGAGTACCAGCCTTCTTAGCCGGAGGCCAGCGGCTGAGAATGGAGTCGTCGACGACAGCAATGAGGCCGGTGGCGATGATGACACTGGGTTAGAAAGCAGGTTAGAAACAGCAGAATGCATGCAGTAGGAGGACAACAACTTACTCAGCAACGTCAGTGAGGGCCTCGATGATAGAGCTGTCGTTGATCCACATGTAGCAGGGGGGAATCCAGTTGCCCGCAGCCTGGTCAGCCTCGACCTGGTTTGGGGCCCGGCCTTCCGGCGTAATAACCGCCACAGGCTCCGTCTCCTTGTCGCGAATCAGATGAAAGGCGGCCTTTCCAAGCGCCTTGTCCATAACCCGGCGCCAGGCGTAGGTGTGTCCCCACCACTGAAAGTCGTACTGCTTGCCTGGGCGACGCACAATGTCCACGCGGGCGTAGTTGCTGAACTCGAGCTTGAGCGTGTTGAGCGGGATGGGGCGGGCCGAGGGGAGCTTGGGCTCGTCCGAGTCGGAACCAGCCACATCCTCAGAGTAGATGGAGCCACCGCAGCCCCAAGAGTTGTTGCTGCCGATTGAAGGACGACGAGGGTTGGGAGTAGCAGCCACGGCAGCGGCCTTTTCGGCAGCGGCGCCGCTCGATCGGCGGAATGAGGTCTTGACCGAGCGCAGGGCACTGGTGACGGAGCGTGAGAGGGAGGATGAGGAAGAGGTTGCTGCCCGCTCATGGTGGGGGTTGGCACCCTTGGAGTTGCAAACCTCGCGGCCAGAATCGCGGCAGTATCGTCGCAGGGAGAATTCTCGCTTGGCAAGATCATGCATGCGCAGGTGGAAGAGCTGGATGGCAACAGCACGGCGACGGCGGGATGAGTTATCCGGCACGATGGCGTCGACGCGGAGGTTCATGTTACCATCGGCGGTTCGGTCGTCATGTCGGATGGTCAGACGGTCCATTGACGGGAAGAGATGCGCAAACGTCTCGGGGTCTGAAGATCGGACTGAGATCTCGGGCACTGGCATGCAGTTGTACGGAGGCAGCGTAGAAGGAGGAATACCCGATACGGCGCAGTTGTCTCCCTCGGCATCCTTCTTGTCACTGTCCGAGTCGTGGTGGGACTCTGAAGACCTGTCGTCTGAGTAGGCAGAGTCGTATGTGTAGACGGATGAAGACGAGTCGGAGCCAGTGTCGACGATGGAGGGGGGCAGGTCTTCCCAAGTATCGCGCTCCCAGGTATCCCTCGATGAGTGACGGGAGTCGTCGTAGTAGGAACCAGACACGTAGCTGGAAGTCTGATCATGTTGACGACTTGACGCATAGTAGCGGCTTGAAGCTGTTGTGGAATTCCTGCTACGAGCCATGCTAGAGGCCGTGGTCCTGCTAGCCCTTGACGCCGCGCGAGCCTGTCGCCTTGAAGGGACGGCCATTGCTGTTATGTGTTGAGCAATAAAGGGTTTGAAGTAATTGGTTTTGAGAATTGATAAAGGCTGTTATCAAAGTATCTTTGTCTGTTGCGAAGCGGTTGGTTGTAGTTGTTGATATGTTATATAAGATAGAGAGGTAGGTGGTGTAGGTGTTAGTGAATTTGGTCTTGTCCTTGGTGAGAGTCGGTGTCGGTTTATATCAAGAGCACAAGCTAATGACAAACGCGACGGCGACCCAATCATGCAATTGTGCACATAAGCTGCAAGCTCTATCGAGTTTTCGGAATGTAGACGGCAAGGGACGTCATTAGAGTGCAGAATGCGTGTGTTTTGGTCAAAGGTCGAAGTGCTATATCGAGCTATGAAGTCGAGAGTCTTCCAAGCGTAAGATCATGATCGCACCCGTGGTGTGATATATGTGCAAAGACTCGACCCCCTCCGTTATGTCATCTCACCTTCGGATGCGCCAGTCACTCGTGCATTCTAGCGGATCTATTAGGCGGCAAGCCACTCTCGACTCTTTACTGTGTTCGGCATGCACTCCTTGGGCCAAATGAGAGATACAGCAAGGCATGCAAGCCCAGAGGAGGGAACAAAACATGGAGGTGGTTAATGGGATGGGGGACAAGGGGGCGTGTGAACCGGGTAGAGTCCAAAGGTCCGCCGGGGCTGTGTGTGTAAGGCGAGTGGCCCAATACCGGCTTGCTGGCAAAATACGGGGGAGTGTGCGCTTGGTCAAGCACCAGCAAGGAGAGGAGCAGAATTTTCACTCCAAACAGAGGCTCCAATTCGCCCTGGCCTGTGGGCAACGGGCCCAAGAAGGGGGCCTGGGCAGTGAAGGGGACGCCAGCGCAATGGGCCGCAGCCGCAAAGTCGACAGCCGCGTGTTCAACGCTCTAATGTATTAGACCCTAGCTCGCGCATGTCGATGGATCCCCCTCCTCTGGAGGTCGACCTCTAGGCTTCTCTTTTCGCTCCAGCGTCCAATGGGCCGCGGGCTGCAAGATGCAGGAGCTTAGAGCCTTGGTTGGGGTCTTGGGCCCCAGAGACCTGCAACTCCTGGAAAACCAACATCCCCAGGGCCGTCCAGACATGGCACGTCTGCAGCACAGGCCGAGTTGAGTGCATGTTTCCCCTCTTACATGCCGCACAAAGAATAGCCCGGGGGAGCTGTTTCGGCGCATCGTAAAAAAAAGAGATGGAGCCTGTGGTTGGGGTAAATCATCTTCTCTTCGTCCGCGACGTCCATCCCTGTTGCCGCGGCGGCTTGTTAGGACCTCCCAGAGCCCACCCACCTCGAGATGCGTCCACAGCGTTCTGACACATATGAGATCGATGACACCATACTGCTCCGCCAGTGTTGGTTGTAGCAGCAGTATCATGTATGCGAGGCGTCAGCAGCGATATGCTATGCCGAGAAATAAAATTTTATCCATGCTGTTTCATTTATTCTGCATTTTTTTAATGGTTTATTCCCATGCCGTTTCTCCTTTGGCCTTGGCTTGCTCGCCCGATGTCCCTGTAGCATTTTGCTGCTTGTCGTTTCCGATAGTGCCCGGTTCGCGAGTAACAATACCTGTAAACCCCCGGTTGGCTTCCCGCTCTGCTACGTGGCGAGCAACGAGACCACGACGGAGATGGAGAGAACTTCAGCTACCAGCTCGTAACTCTCGCCTGTCCCATAACGCTAGTCGTGTGCGCAGATGATGGAATTGAGGAGGAATCAAAGGAGAAATCGCAAGACGCTCTCCTCGCTTTCGGCCATGTACTGCGCAAATCTTGGGCTCTCACCGTCGGCCAACCCCATATGGCCGCTGAATGACCATGTGCAAAGCCCAAAGATTCATCATCGCCTGGAGGATCGGTGCAGTCATCGTCGACTTGACAAGGCCATGATAGTGGTCCCAGCTGTAAGCCAGCAGTCCCTGGCCCTGTCTGAGACACCAGGCTCTACTCGTACAAGTACCGTAGGCGCAACAGCGCACGAGACGGCGCCCAAGAGTCACACGTCCTTGCCAGCCTCTCGGTACCGGGAGCGCCGCCTCGCTGAAAATAGCACTTGCTGCGTATACATGGTACGAGTACACTGATAGTCGGCACTATGGCAGTCCAGCGCCCGCCTCTGTCTCCTTGTCTCCCCTCTCTCCACGCTCGCTCGCTCGCTCGCTCTCTCTCTCGTGATGACAGAGACCTGTTCCCCTGGACACCTGGTGCTTGGCGCTGGATCTGCCAGTGGGCGCTTGGGTGGCACCAGAGTGAACAAGTCACCGCCGGAGCGGCGCCTCTAAACCCAGGCTGGCTGCTGCCGAAATGCGCTGGCAGGCTGATTGGACGAGAGCCCAAAGGATAAGAAGCTTGCCGTTGACACATCAGCAGTTTGTGGCTGCAGCTAGATGGATTGAGCGAACAGCAAATCCGCATCGGTACGATCGATGGGGCCGTCATGGCTGCCCAACTTCAGGCAAAGACGATGGCAGGCCACTCGCTCGCTTGAGCGTGTCTCTCGGAAAATAGCAAGCACCCTTGGCTTGGCTTGGGACATGTGTATTATTCGTCCCCGTGTGGTGTCCTGTTGTCTCTTGCTCATTCATCACTGGTGGATGACACGCACGAGGCCCAACAATGCAGATTTCGAGCTTGCATTTGCACTGTGGTCCAAGATGCATGCATTTGCGGCTGCATAATTCTTCGACCTACGAGGCACCGTGTCATTGGCCTGCCTGCTCGGGAAGAAGATGAGGGAAAAAAAAGCGAGCATCCATCAGGGTCGCATTCTATATCGCGAAATAATCACCAATGGCAATGGGCAATTGGCTTTTCCTGATGCTGAGCAGTCATCGAGCCCTCAGCCTTGCCTATCACAAGCTTGCAAAGAATCTGCGATGCAGCGCGGTTGCTTTTATCCTCTGCCGGCCTCATTCGCCCGTCATTTGGTGCAAGAATCAGTTGATTGAGCTGCACAGGAGCCAATGCAGGCATTCCCAATGCTGATTTCCCCCCATTGATTATCGTACAAGAGCGAAATGTAACGGCATGAAGGGCTCGGATACGTCCAGCTGCCAGCCCGCCGCCACCAGCGACGACGACGACGACATTACCCAGGTGAATATCCAGTTGGCTCGATAAGAGCGACGAGAGCTGCATCAATAGCCTGTGGTGCCAGCGTGGTGTGTGTCGGCCACCCATTCGTCCATTTCACGCCACTTGCGAGTCGTGCCTTGGACACGAGCTGGCCGGCAGACGATGCGACGGCTTGGCCTTTAGCCCGGCAGGCTCTGCGCTTTTCGTCCAATCCCTCCAGGCAATAGTACGGGGTATTCTCGCTGTGAATATCGACAGCAGCACTAGAGCATAGAAATTGGCCACCGCGTGACGCTCTCGTAAACTCTCGTAAAGCATACCGAGGTAAGTCATGGCTTTTGGATTCACGTTGCGCCATGTACGGCAAGCTTCTTCTTTTTTTTTTTTGCCTCGTCTTTTCACCGCGATTTGCCACCAAACGGATCAAGCATAAGTCGTCTGCCATCAGCCGTTTCTGATAGACGTCGTGTGGGGGACATGGCTTTGCGAGTCCAACCACACACGCACCCCGCATAGTTACATGTTGCACTGCAGGGAGGGGGAAGACAGATGACCTCGCGATAATGCCGTCTGTCGAGTCGTTTTTCGTTTTGGAGACCGAGGACGGCAGAGAACTGGATTTCGCCTGCCATGTGTACAACGGCCGGTAGCGAGATGGAGTGGTGATAATTAATTGTACGAGACACGCAGAGAAGTGAGAAGTGAGAAGTTGGAAGTGAAGAGAGAAAAAGAGAGCACCAAGATGCAGGCGACAGAATCAGGAGATTGAACAATATGCAGTGCATGGCGCCTGCAGTTTTCCAGGTATCAATTGCTGCTGCCATGCCCGACGGTTATCGATAGCACTTTAGGCCTCGGTCAGTGATGTCACTGCCTGTGAGGAGCCACGGATTCTACCTACAAGTACTACTAATACAAAGTGCCAGGTACACGTACATGAGATGGGGGAGGCGAGAGCAGGGAGAAGGGAGCAAAGGATGGGACAACACAAGTACAAGTACCTACCTCCCAGGAGTCCGTGTCATCGTTGTGATGATCCCTCCAATCGCCCGTATCCTAATTTAGCACTGCAACTGGCGGTTTGCTTCTAGAACCCGGAACGGAACCATTCATTCGTCTAGTATTACTGTGGACTACTAAGGTATTGGAAACGCTTCCTCGATTACGGAGCTCTCATAGGTACTACAGTACTTACTTGTACAGGGGCTACAACCACGGGAAGCAGCATCAATGGCGGCTCCGAGAATCTGGACATGGAGTGCTGCTCAACTCACTGCCAGACACCGACGACGCTGTTGACTCGTAGCATGTACAAGTATGTATGTACTACCTCACCTTACCTTGCCTTGCTGTATGTACCAGCCAGACATCCCATGATATGCCGTCTTTCGGATAGCCGCATTGCCTTGTTCCCTCCCCTCACTGACATGTGCTGGTGCTGGTGCTGGTGTTGGTGTTAGTGCTGGCTTGTGTCACCTTGAGCTCCGCGGCCTCGTGCTCCCTCGTGCTCCTGCTTCGTGCTTTCATGCTCATGCGGGCCTCATCATGTAGTGTCAGTAAGAGCAGGACTAGCCCAGCATCACCGTACTCGTACATGCTCGACGTCCACCCAAACACGCGACAAGCCTCCATTGGCCCGTCTGTGAGCCTCTGCAACGCTATTTTCAGGTACCAGGCCTCCATGTCGAGATCCGATTCGCCTCTCCCCCCGGAACAATATTCCCCCCCCCGGCCGCCACCACCGAACCCCTACACCGTCTAATCGCTGTCTCTCTCTGCAAAACTCCCCGCTATCGGCCGCGATGCTCCACGATGCTCCACGATGCTCCACGATTCGGAAACCCGAGGCCCAAGCCATTCTCGCGGACCGGATGCTAGTTGGCCTGGAACCCCTCCTCGTATCTCCTTGATCCGTTTTGCCGTCAGCTTCGCTCTGGCTTGACGCATCTCCATCGCCCAACTCTGCCCTCCAATAAACGCTTCTTCCCCCCTCGAGTCCAGACTCTCTGCCTCTGTGCCGCTCCAAGCGAACATCCGTCTCCGCCCCGGTCCGTCCAAGCTTGCTCCTCCGAAGATGACGGCCGACGCCATCTCCGGCTCCGGGCCCGCATCCGGCTCCCCCCAGCCTCTCCGGCTGCTCATCCTCGAGGCCGACACGCCGCAGCCCATCACAAACGCCAAATATGGTGGCTATCGCGGAGTCTTCACTGCTCTGTTGACGGCGGCGGCGGAGTCCATGGTTCCGCCGCGGCAGCTCTCCGACGTGGCCACGGTCACGGCGCACAACATTGTGGAAGACATGCAGGACTACCCGCCGCTGGACGACGTCGACGCCGTTCTAATTACTGGCTCGCGTCACACGGCATATGAGGATGACCCCTGGATCCTAAAGCTGGTGGAGTATGCAAGGCAGGCCATCGACACCGGTCGCATCAGAGTCGTGGGCGTGTGCTTTGGCCACCAAATCATTGGCAGGGCCATGGGTGCGCGGCTCGGCAGGAGTGATAAGGGCTGGGAGGTGGCCGTCACCGAGGTTGACTTGACCGACAAGGGCAAGGCCATTTTCCAGCTTGACAAGATGGTGAGCTCCCTGTCGCTGCTGCTTTTCACTGGGTGGAGTATTGCTTGCGCTAACACGCGCCTTTCTTGCAGCGGATTCATCAGATGCATCGCGACGTTGTTCTAGAATTTCCCAAGGGTGCCGTTCCCCTCGGCGGAAACGACATGTGCCCAGTCCAGGCCATGTACAGCCCTGGTCGCTACATCTCCGTCCAAGGCCACCCCGAGTTTACGGGCGACATCGTGTCCGAGGTCCTCACCAACCGACACAAGGCTGGTATCTTTACAGACGACATGTTTGACGACGGCATGAAACGTACGCCCCTCGAACACGACGGCGTCGTCATCGCAAAGGCGTTTCTCGACTTCATGAGGGGCGGTTAAGCCACATTGGCAAGACACCATGGTTGAGGTGGGATAGAGGCACACGTATGCAAGCGCTGATTCAACTGCCTCGTGCCCATGTTAGCAGCAGGAGTCAAGGCTGGCAAACCTTTCTTCTTCTTTTTTTTTATGTACAAGTACTCTTTTGTGCATTCCTACTTCCGATTATAGACGAATCACATTTGCCAAAGTGCGGTGAGCTCTCACCTGCAGTGGGAGTTGGCTGAAATCCTATTTCATACGTTCACGTCCATCCCCGGAAATTTCCATGCGGTGCTTGCCTTGGGTTGCATATTCTAACGCAGAGCCGCAGTAGACCTCGCACAGAGGGCACAGACTGAAACATGCATCCGCCTTTTTGGTCGGCGAATGACGGTTGAGGTGATGACATGGTGCACTCTAACCGGCAGATTTTTGCCTTGGGGGCTGAAAGTCTTGAGATGTCGGTCCTCTCAAAGCGCATTCCATCGCTCACCAGCAGATATTACATACTGAATACTGTGCTGTATCAGGATACTGAGCCCTGCCTTGTGACGAATATCAAGGGCCGATCGGAGATGATCTACACCGCTACGGCTGCTTCCGACAAGATCAGATTTGGTGTGTGTTGCAGTCACATGCGAATACTGCACCACCACCAAGTAGCGCAAAACGCACACTGAACTGATTGAATCCTAGAACACAGTTCTGCCCATAAAAAGAAAGGGGGAATAGTAGTGTAGAAAGGATAAAGAATGGCAATGGCGTCGGTCTCTTTCCACGGGGATCTAGAGAGGACCAGCTGAGTACCTACCATCAGGAATCAATTGCGACGGATCTACCCTACAATGGGAACATTTCAATGATGATTGTTAGTGCTCGCAAAGCTTAGATGTATTCATTTTGCCATATCGCCCTTATTTACACTGAATCATGTGAGAAATTGGTCTGTTCAACCCAGCTCTAGGGTAAATCGTCAACTCTTGGCTGGGGCTACTTGAGATGCACTCAGATGAAGTTCTTTCCCTTCATTGCGCAGAGACCATATGCATCAGAATTCCCGCTATAAATCCGTAGATTTTAGTTACATAGAATGTATTCACATCAGTTTGCCAAGTAAGGGTACCAAACCACATTCTATTTGTTCTTACGTGGAAATAAAGCACCGTCTTCTGGTCATCTTCGTTCAACTCACTCAATTGAAGCAATATGTAAACATACGACAGGTAAAGCTAGGAAGTTGTCAGACAATTTAATAATCTCACCACATACCAAGTTCTTAAGGCAAGGGATGTGGTATCGTCTATTCCTCTAGGATGACTCTCGTTCTTCTGTACTGAGGCAAGTCATCACCATCTTCCTTCTCCTTCATGTCACCACAGAGGGCGCGTCGTCTCACATTACATGGCACAACTATAAGCTTACGAGGCATGGGGCATTCTGACTTCCTGAAATGGTGAATCGATAACTTCAAACACGGTTCGGGATTTCGCTGCTCGGGATTTCAGTCGTCTTATACCCCCTCGCTTCCCAATGATGTGTGAGCAAGTAGATGGAAACATCCCATCAACGCGTGAAAAGAGCGATATCCGGCCACCTCCATCAACGGTTACATCGTTCTCTGTCCATAGGCAGCAACAATGGCAAGGATCTTTTTGAGTTTCCAGTTCCTCGGGGCGGAATGCCTTCACACAGCCACCTTGGCAGCGAATTCTACTCGGCGTAAGCCGCTGGAATGAGCAGGTCGCTTTCGTTATTACCCAACAATTTGCCACTGGTAGTGGAGATGATGTATTGGCATGAGGAATCACTCGTAGGCTGTTGGTTCGAACGAATACAGACATCAAGGTACCAAGAGATACAGAGCGAGGGGAGCGCTCTATCTACCAATGGTAGAAGAGACAAGAGACACCTATCATTTGACGAATGAAATAGCAAGACTTAAAGTAACAAATGAGAATCCAGCCACATTGAGTCTAAAAATACAATGTGTTGAAGCAAGTGCTCACTCGATGCTATTTTGAGGTTAGGTCCACGATTCTTCATGTATCCTTGAACAAACGGCTAGTAAACTCGGACAACCCGCGATTGCCGAGCCGTGCTTGAGCTCTCAATTCAGTGGATGCCTATACAAAGGTTGTTTTCCATCGCCAAGATCTCATACGTTACTTTCTCCAGTATGAGTGAATCGTATTACACTAGACTCCCATTGACTCGTGCCCATGCCAGAAAGATCTCGATTAGAAGCCACAACATGCTAACCAAATGACGCCCGTTATGCCTGCGCACAGACAGACAAACCCAAACTCAATGGTGTTGCCTCGTACCTGTACCTTACAGAGGTAGATTCGTTTCATGCGTTCAATGTCACGCAACCTTGTCTCCTGCCCTATGCAGACATGGGCTGAGTTGTTTTCCCCCTGGTGCTTACTAGCTACCCCTGGCTTCGATCCATTACTTGCCTGGAAGCGAAACGCGCGGTAGTTGTTTGCCAAGATTGAACGAATCCTAAAAGTGAGAACCGCCGGTCATTGCCCGTATTTTGTCTTTGTTAGTTCCTTAGAGGCCTCGTAGCTCCGTTTTCCATTCTAGTTGACTATGCTCTCTCTGTTGAAAGACTTGTAACCCCCTGCCGGCATCTGCTTTGGCGAGTCGTGTCAGAGCTTTTATTCTCCGTTGACAGCTAGCAAAACGTTTTCTTCCCCTAGAATCAGCTGATGTAGATCATCATACCAGCTAAAAATAAGCGGAGCACTCAACTTCCAATTTAGGGAATCTTGGATAGTTGAATGGATTCGATGCAAGCCCGCTTTGTGCGAACTGCTCTAAGCGCTAGACACCAAAGGAGAAGCTCCAAGATCCAGGACGGTGCCCGATCTATCCATGTCCCCTTACAAGCATGGGAAAGACATCGGCATGCCCGTTCTCGCAAAAGCTAATGGCAAGATGCAACGGTTACACGTGGCTGGGGTAGAGTTGCAGTTGCTTGGGACGTACGCCCTGAGGAATATTTGATGATATGGATCAGAAACGCAGCTTAGGAGGCATTGGAGCAACTATATAAAGCAGTGGCCTGTCTCACTTCATCAAATCATCTCACCACTCATCTCAAGACAAAACTTCAAGTTCCACGACAATCAAAATGCAGTTCTCCCTTGCCATCGCCGCCTCCGTGCTGGCCGCCACCGCCTCGGCTGCTCCCGCCGCCGTCTCAGGCACAAACACCAACGGCTCCATCTTCATGTTCGGAGACCCAGCTCCCGCTCGCAACCTTCTCTACAACTTTGGTGCTTGCGGCATCAGCACCTACTTCCCTGGCCAGGTCCCCGACGACATGCCCCTGGTTGCCATGCCCGCCAACATCTTCGACCAGTTCGGCTTTGCTCAGCACAACACTCTCTGTGCCAAGATCATCACCCTCACCCGAAACGGTGTTACTCGCCAGGCTGCTATTGCGGACCGCAACCTCAGCAACACCAACTCCATCGACATGACCCTTGATCTGTGGGAGGCCTTTGGTGGACACGACAACGACGGCAGTATCATTCCGGGCTTCAGCTACGTCATTAACAACTAAGGAGTTTGATGGAGGTGGCCTGCGGCTGAGTAGACTGCGACCTGTACATATTTCTACTCTCTTTCTGATGTATATATTTATGACTTTTGGGCCCTCTCGGCAGCAGATTCTTGTATATATATATAATCCTGCATGGGAGGGCAGATGTTGATATGAAAGCAAATCTATAAATGGTCTTCCATTTAGGATATGTGTAAATATACGCTGTTTTCAAATGAGGCATTCACTGGACGTTGTGACATGTACTGGTGAATTGATAGGACCATGGATATAATGTGATGAAATTGGGTCGTAGGTTAAACCTCTTACTGAAAACACACCTGTCTACTGGCTGAATCTATAAAATAGTGACGGTGACATAGCAGCTATTGTGTTAGTGCATGCTCAAGACAAGAATATGCCAATTAAAGCAATGTTTTGCAACGAGGGTCGAGGAGAATGAAAGGTGGTGAAGCTGGAGGCGGAGGCCGTTTGCATGCTCATATATTTTGTACATTACTTTTTATTTTCCGCTGGTAATTTACATGACTAATAAGAGAGAACGTTGAGAGTAGAGATATCTTTTGCAGACACGGTATGAGGTTTTGATCTTTATACTTGAATGATTGAGGTCGGCGTTTACACATCTGTCGAGCTCAACTGATATGGGGGCTTCGATACGTTGTATTTCCCGTATCATATTCAGCGTCGATTAATATCTTTTTTGTGCCAATTTACACCCATTTGTACTCATTTCCATGTGCAGCCAGAACTAGTTGCGCCATCTGGCTCCAGCTGCACGTTGCCAGCAGTTCACCGCAGGCTGCCGATATCAGGCGCTCCTTATTGCAGAGGCTCGTCAAGTGAATAATTACACATGTAGAGTGACTCGAATTTCCTGCCAAACACTCACCGCCATCCTCTGCCTTTTTAAGGTTTATCTTCTTGCATCTCATTTTTCCAATCTCTTTCTTCTCCAACCCTCTCCTCTCCTCTCTCCCTTCTCCAACCCTCTTTCTCTCCTACTTATCCTACAATTCTTCCAACTCCACATCCTTTCTTCTTCCTCTATTCCTTATTCAATATACTCTCTTCATCAGATCATATCTCGACTGCCCATATATTTGCTTTCTCTTACTCTTTCGTGATCCATCTTATCCTTTCTTTCTCTTCTTTGCAACGATCTATTGTCCTTTAAGATACACCTCGGCTTCTTCAAACCTCTTTAACAACGCTTCAAGAAGTAGATCGCTACCTCGCACCACCTCGTCCCATTCTACTAATGCTTGCGAACTACTTATCTCGCTCAACGTATCTTGTCTTTCTTTCCCGTTGTGAGGATGCTTTTTACTAATGTATTCTTAGGAGTGTCAACTGCTAATCGCTAGTATGTCTTCTTCACCCTCGAGAGCCCCTTCGGAGGCGAAAAAGCGCCGTGAAAAGAGCTCCAAGAAGAGCAAGGAAGCAAAGCGCGAGTCACATGGGTTGGCCGAGTCCGAAGCACCTGTCATAAAGACCGAGACAGACGATAACGGCGAAACTCAATCCGCTTCGAATCCGAATCGAGGAATGTTTGCGCGTTTCATGAGACAAGAAGCCAGTGAACCTTCACGAGAAGAGCGAGCCGTCCTCAACCCCAACCTCAAACACCACGACCAAGAGGCGACGACTTCTGAGGTCGCAAAGACAGTTGTCCAGCAAAGTGTCTGTTCAAACACAGCTGGCATCACTCAGTCTGCTCCACCAGAGAACAGCCAGAACACACCTGGTGCGGCCGAATCCTCAAATGAATCAGACACAGTTGCGAAGGTGGAGGGCGATCTACCTCAAGGAATCGAAAGGGTTCAAGGCGATTCCCCCCAAGAACCAGATGGCGTTGACCAAATGGAGAGTGTTGGTAAAACTGAATCGCAAAATGATGCCAGTGCTGCCGTCCCACAGTTATCAACTGGGCACAGCACGGCAGATCCTCAGCAGGCTCAAATCGATGATGATTTGCCAAGACAGCTTCCTAACCAAGAAGAGAAGAGCGAAGTCAAAACCGAGGAATCAGTCCAAGATGGCATCTCAGAAAAACATGCTGGAACGTCAAAGAGTGGTGAAATGAGAGATGTTGATCAATCCACCGTCTCAGCTGACGCCATAGCCACCCCGGAGAAATCTCACAAGAAGAGCAGCAAGAAGCGCAAGCACAAGCATTCCCGCAAACGATCTAAATCACGCGAGCGTTCAACATCACACAAAAGAAGAAAAGAATCCGAGACATTCGTCCCTAACCATCAACGAGATCAATCCGAAAGCAGTGGTGATGAGGAAGAGTCGCAAAACGGGTTCGACGTCGAGCAAGCAAGGGCCAGAATCCCCAAGGGATGCAGCATCCGGCATGAAGCAGAGCAGAAAAAGGAGCTGAGAGATGGGGAACATATTGCCAAAGGAAAGAAGTTTACAAAGATATTCCGCTCTACCCTCGAGGCTCACCAGCTGACCGCGCTGTCCTGGATGGTGAACAGGGAGAAAGACAAGATGCGGTCAGTTGATGGGGGAATACTAGCTGATAAGATGGGAATGGGGAAAACGGTTACGAGCTTGGCATGCATTGCAGCTAATAGGCCACCCAAGAAGGATCGAAAGATATCCGCTCAGGCGACACTTGTTGTTGTGCCCAACAGAACAGTTGCCAATCAGTGGCTAGCGGAAGCCAAGGTAAGTTTTGTTTTGGGTGACTACCTGATTATGCTGCTGATTACTTTTCAGAGACATTGGAATGAAGAGGCAAGCTCGGCTGTTATTCTCCATACTGGCAACGACGATGATCACCTTTTGGCGCAATATGAGAGGCAATTGATCGTGTGAGTTAGATATTCCGCAAGTTGCTATAGGGCTGGAGAAGCTTATGAACTATATAGTCTTGCAACATATGCTCAAGTGCGAAATTCTTTCCCGAAAGAAGAGGTTATGGAATCTCTACATGCCCAATACGCGGACGACCAGGATATGCTTAGGCAAGAGTTCAAGAGGCGAGCAAAGTTCTTGTTCCGTATCAAATGGTTCAGGGTAATTTTCGATGAGGGGCATGCAGCTACGAAGTGGAACGGACGCAGTAAGTCTATCTGTCTGATGCAAATCAGAAATCTCTTTGGCTAATCCGAACAGCCTTGGATGCATGTACTCGCATCCAGGCCAAGCACCGGTGGGTCTTGAGCGGCACTCCTGTTCAGAATAAGCCAATAGGTGAGGCCAAGAATGATGCGGAAAACGGTGGAATTGGGAATTGGAGAACTAATCTGGCGTTGTCAGAGTTTTATTCGTATGCAAGTCTAGTCTGCTGCGAGTACCGAGGTCGCCGGCGAGTCTTCAGAAGTGAATACATTGTCAAGGTAAGAGCGCTCTAATGGTGGTGTTTAAACACAAACTGACAAACTGTTTTTGATTCAGAATGCCACAAATGACGACTTTGACTCTCTCGCCAGCACTCTCATGTATCGAAGGTAAGTCTCTCGCGTAATACAAACGCGCAACCAGCTGACAAGGAGTAGAACTGCAGATGAGAAGCTCAACATTCCGCCGACAATTCATCAAGAGGTATATATCGAAGTTTCGCAAGAAGAGCAAATGATATGCAAGTACGTATGCAGTTGTTGAGTGTAGAGTCATGTGCGCCATGTGCGAGAGTAGGTACTGACAAGCAAAGTGCCATCGTTTCATATTTCAAGGATCTTGAAGAGAAGCACAAGAAAGATAAAGAGCGGGAAGGGATGCCCATATTTGAAAACGAACAAGACGAAGACGAGGTGGAAGATATCAAGCCAGAGGAGCAAGGCGAAGAAGAAGACGAAGAAGAAGGAGAAGGCGTGGAGAAAAAGGGCAAAAAGTCCAAAATCCGAGCATCAAAGCAGTTGCGTCTTAGGCAGGCTCTGTCTCATCCATACTGCCTGGAGGGAATTTTCCTGGGGAATTATCTCAGTGAAGATGAGCTCAAGTCGCTCGCCTCGGATTTGAATTCGATGAGCGACAAGAAGACAATCATTGAGCAGCTCGAAGCGGATGAGAATTGGGCAGAACATCTCGGCCAATACCAAAAGGGCCTTGATATACTCAAGTCTCACAAGGAAGCATTCCTGGGCGGGGTTTTCGACATGAGCAAGCTCATGGACCTCATCATTCTCCAACGCACTGTCAATGTACAGAAGTGTGGCGGCGCTGCTTGCGAATCTCAGAATCTCTCTCGTTTCAAGGTAACTAACTGTCATGAATTGCGGTTAGATTCTTGATTTGGCTGACAGAATTGTTGAATAGTGCGGCCACATGTACTGCGATCAATGCTTGGGCCAGTTAACGATACGGAGGAGCAGCTTGCCGGAAGCAGAGCGATCAGGGGTAAGTTCATGTAATTCCTATTAGAAGCGAGATGTGTATCGAATATACTGACACAAACCGAAGGACCTCAAATGCTCATCCGATGGCTGTGGTCAAGACCTCTCGTTTGTAGAGCGGGTGACTACTCTGGCACAGCTCGCCTCCGTGGTAAACAAGGACAAGAATTATGTCGAGATTGGGAGAGATTGGCTCAAAAATACAGTCCAGGCGAGACAAGAGCGATCTCAGTTTTTTATTGCCAGCTCCTCCTTCTACGGACCACGGATTGTCCCTCCACCGAGCTCGAGGCTCACGGCGACGATGGCCGTCGTTATGACTTGGCTGACCGAGGCACCCCAAGACAAAATCATCAGTGAGTGCATGAAGACACGCAGGTGAGAGTCAATGGACTAACGCGTTATAAATCTAGTTTTTACGCAGTTTATTACGACTCTCAAGGTGGTGGGCTATCAGCTCGAGACTCTGGGTATTAAATTTGTGTACTATTCTGGCGCCTCGACGAAGCAGAAGCAGGAACACGCAATGCATGCGTTCCGTAACGATCCAGACACGATGGTCATGGTGAGTACCGCCATTTCCTAATCTAACTCACTACAATAATGAATAGAGTTATCACTTACCTCTGAGAAATAGGTGTCCACTTTGAAAAGCGGCGGCCAGTCGCACAACCTGACTGTGGCGAACCGCGTCATTATCGTCGACCTTTGGTGGAACAAGGAGGCCGAGAAGCAGGCCATCGGCCGCGTGGTCCGGATAGGCCAGGAGAAGGAAACGTTTTCGGTGCGCATCGTCACGAAGCACAGTATGGATGATCGTGTGATCAAAGTTCAGACGGGTAAGGAGGCAATGGTGGCCCGAATACTGCAAGATGACGGACACAAACGAACAGAGGTTGACGATGAACGCCTCGAACAGATCTTTGAGCGAAAGGAAGGCGAGCAGTCAAGGTCGAGAAAGCGAAAGAGAAGAGAAGACCCGTTTGAATCGAGGGGGGGCGATGATATGGCATTTTAAGGGGCCGATGGAGGGAAATGGAGATGATTTCGAGGGTTTACGGCTTTGAGGCGTTGGCGGATACTGCGACAAGCAACGAATTACTTTGCTCTATTTTTCACTTTCTTCTCGATTATTCTTTTTGGAGTTCATTCGGAGAGGATATATCATCGGCTACGGAGCTGGACGCGACACTGGGAACTGGGATGGCTGGTGGTGACTTTATTGGGGAACTGGAACTGGATGGAGGTTTTCAAGGAAAAGATTGGTTTGCTTCTGGGAGTTTGAGATTATGAGGCTGATTCAGGATGGGTTCGGAATCTTCGTTTTCACGATTTGCTTCAATGAGCGACGGATATAGCGCAAAAGTCCACCGATATAATAGCTTTCAACTCATTTAGCTTGAATCTAAAGTTGAGTTTCTTGGGCCTTGTCTCGCGCCAGACTGCTGAAGTTTCCCATCATCAACAGTGATTCGAGGGCTAGGTACGTGCAGCAAATTGTGAATGCGTTAAAAGACACCATTTTATTTCTACATGTGTCTTTCATTTGAATACAGGGAAGTGATCAAGTTCGTTGCTCTTTTTACCGTCTTGGACGTAGTGCTTGGGAGAGTTGTCCGAGATTCAGATTCACCGACGGCATTTGAAGCCGCACAGAAATTGAAACACTGCTCAACAATTTGCAATATTTACGAAACATTAGATCAGTACCGATCGCTTGGTGGTATTTCTGTACGGATTCCTCATTGAAGCAAATTATTGCATCCTCGCCAGAAACTCTACGAGCTTACTATGCCCAGATTGGGGGTATGTCGTCGACTCTGCCCACCAGCAACTCAACAAGAAAATTCCAACTAAGCGATGAAATGAAATTCATATGCCCTCTGTAAAACTGACGCCGCAGTGACATCTGCAATTACTGTTCGGATATCTGCCTGAAACTTGGGGTCACTGGCAGACCGGCGAGACTGCCTGCCAGCTGCGTGGTTCGGCACCTGGATTCACTTCTGCCTCACTTTCTTCCCACTTTCAATGTTTCCGCTGGGCCCCTTTTTTCTCCCTCTCTACACTCACTTTACCAGATCGTGTTCAAACTGCATTCTATGACGAGAATCATTCCACCCCCTTCCGCTTTCTCGTTCTTCCCTCTTTCTTAACTCTTCTTGACATATGGAGACCACTCGAATCGACATCGCCACCAGAAAGATGGTTTCCAGGTTTATGTCGATGCCTCCTGAACTGGAGATTGGAGATTTGGAGATTCAAGAATCAGATCCCAGGTACACCGCTGCGGTCAGATGTGTTCGAACATACTGGAAACAAGCGACACGTATGACTTGGGACCAACGCAAAAGATTTCTGGGATTTATGGACACGCGAGGCGAGGTGGACTACTTGTCAAAGCCTTCGGCGACCTCACACATTCTGTATACGAGCGCCCGCAATTACCAGGGCATAATTCCGACTAAAAACATCCGCTGGGCTGACTACTTGTTTCTCTCATCATTATATAAAAATAGGTTGCCTATGGACTACGTCACGGCTGTAACAGAAAGATATACCAGCACCAAAGATCGTGGACTTTACAGACGAGTATCGAAGCTACTATCCAGAATTAACAGCACGCAGCCAAGGAGTCATCACTGAGTCCATTAAAACTAGCCAGCCGATCACCTTTTACGACCTGGCGCAGAACAAAGGGATCTCAAATAAGCAACCGAAGGCTTCGCGCGATCAGAAGGACAGCGGTGAATCAGTTGTACCTGGCCAGAAAAAAAAAGCAACGCCTGCTCAGAAGGAAAACCCCATCGTCAAGGCCGTACCAAGAAACATTGGGGATACAACAGAAAAGAATGATGAAGTCGGGGTCTCAACTAGCCAGCAACAAGGCAATATGCCTCCTCAAAATAAGAATGTCGTTATGCCAGTCACAATTCATAGCCCACAGCAAGATACCACACCTGCACAGGAGAATGGCGATGAGACATCAGCCTCAATCATCCAGAACGAGAATACCACAGCTGCGGAAACACATTTTCTCCCAGAGACACCAGCGAATACGGAGCCTGTGGCACCAGAGACATGGAACATTGACAATGTTGTTGGTATCTTGTCTCTACAGAGCAAGAAGAGACTATGCTCCGCGCCCGAAAGTTCCCCAAAACGCGCCAAATTTGATGGCCATGAAATATTGGAAAAGGTCAATGAGCAAGCCGGAATCATCCAGCAAGCTATGGACAAGTTACAGTGCAACCAGGATAGCAAGCTTCAGGAAGTGCGCGAAGCTGTTGAACAGAATAAGCAGGCTCTGGAAGACATGCGAAGTGAACTACGTAAGTTCATGTCGGTAGTCGCGTCGACGCTTCGAGATATCCAAGAGCGTCTAGAGGAGTGAGATGCCTTGTCTCGGCCTTGTGGAGGATGTATACGGAGGTCGGCCAGTATCACAGAGTTGATTTGGGGATGCTCCAAGCATTTACAGAGTGTATGTATCTGGTTATGGGGTTCGTTTCATGGCTAGATATTGCCAGTGACGATGATAATTCAGTCTAGAAGGTTTACTTAGGCACCAGATGGAGCATATCGCACAAACATGTCTCGAGGGCATGAGATGATAGTACTTGGAATCGATCCACTCAGAATCCCCCATCTCGCCAGTGCCAGTGACATGCTTCCAAAAGCTTTTCACCAAATGCCGTTGGTGCCATCATCATTTCATCGTGACGACCCCTGGTAGCGTGTTTTCATGGGGTTGTCGAGCAGGGGTATCACCTCTGATGGTAAACAGATAAGCCCAGCGTGTATATGACCGCATCTCTCCTCAGCTTCTGCTTCTTCTCCTCCACACACTACACTGGACTGACCGTCACTTGTATCACCCACCTGGCAGCCTCGTTTCCCTTTCCATCATGGTCATCCAGGAACTTTGGGCTGCCAAGCAATTGAAACATTTACCCAAGTGCGGGGAGCCAGAAAATGTCCTCCCCAACCCACGACCAACATGCAGACACCTCGTTTGCTGTGACCAAGAAACTAGCAACCAACAACCACATGCAGTTGGCACTAAATCCTTCCCGAGCCTCTCGTATCCTCAGGCTGTTCCGAGTGACCTGGGCGTCCTGATCACCGCCTATTTTTGTCAATCTCAAGGACACAAGCCATGATCTTGGCCGATGAAACGCATAAACGAGCCATGACCTCTGGAAAGTCCCTGCGATGGGTAGGACAACAGGGGGATGGTTTGGACAAGACTCGAAAACGCCAACTCAAGCCAACATGCCGCTGTGTTGTCTCTGCATGGGGAGACACGCACAAAGCCTGATTTCTGATCTCGGGAAATAGAGAGAGCAGCCGCAGACGGGGGTATTCCGAAATAAGGATAAAAGCTGGCCCCCCCTTTAAGCCAGCTGATGGCTGTTCGGGATGGTGCATGAGAAGGAATTGGAGAAGAGCAGCAAGTGCCCCCTCTTCCTTGAGGAGAAGTTTTTTTTTTTTTTGCGGTATCTCATCCGTCCCGTCGTGACAAACACGGATCTGTACTGCAAGGCTCTCCCGTCTGTGCTTCTGCAAAGAGATTCGCCTTGCCAGAGTATTAGAGAAAGGGGGGGAACGTGTTTGCTTGGGTTTGATTACCGCCTTTTTCACTCATAGGCAATACTTCTGCACAGACACCACCCCCAGTCCGCTGCTCATATTGAGGAGGTTGAGTCCAGGCGAAGCAGCAACATCGACAAACCAAGAAGCAAGCCCAAGTCAACAAGCATCATGGGGAGCTCAGTCAGCGATCTGGACTTCTCGTGTCCCAGGGGAGGTAGCTTCTACGCCTGTGAAGACACGCCGAGTCGCTTCGTGGGATGCTGCACCATCAACCCATGCATCACGGACTCAGGCGACTGTCCTGACAACAGTCTCCAGCCTCTCTCGTTCAATCCCGATGCCTTCGATCAGATCCGGGGACAGAATTGCCTGGAGACCGGGTACCAGTGGTACGTCTGTCGCGATTCTTCGCCACCGTTTCTGGGATGCTGCTCCCAGGACGCATGCATGACAACCGGCTGTCCGAGGAACAGACTCGGAGCTGCGAGTTTGAGCGCAAACAGGGCACAAGCAGCCCCTTTTCTGTCTGCGGGCTCTTCATCGTCAACAACAACAACAACAACAACATCCTCATCCTCATCCTCATCATCATCATCAACATCATCATCATCATCAACATCATCATCATCATCAACATCAACATCAACATCAACAACGGGCAGAACTCCCTCGACAACGCTGCACACAGTGGCGAGCACGACTGCGAGTGCCACTAGCACTCGGCCTGCTGCCGTGTCACCTCCAACGCATACGCATACGGGGCTCAGCAAAGGCGCCATCGCGGGCATCGCCGTGGGAGCAGTGGCGGGAGTCTGCATCCTCGTCCTTGCCGCCTTTTTCGCTCTGAGGCAGCGCAAGAAGAACAAGGCCCCAAGCATAACCATCACGGCCAGCGGCACCGGCCGAAAGGACGAGCATGGCGACGACTCGCTGACCGAGATGTATCAAGACAAGACGGCGGCAAACACGCACGAGCTGTCAGGATCCGGCACCGGCCAGATGGCGCAATTACAATCACACTCACGGGCACTCCATGCTCATGCTGCTGCCCAGCCATCTCCGGGCCTCGAGTCGCCCATCTCAGAGCTCCCCGCAACGCCGTCGACGCCAGGCAACCGACACTTTGTCTCCGTTGCCAGCTCCGATGGCGTGACGGGCAGGGAGAGCGAGCTGTCCGGCGTTAGCGCTTCACCAAAGCAAAGTCCGCTGATGCATCAGTCGTTGTTCGAGCTCGAGGACTCGTCGACCCGGACATTTGTGGGGAGGTAACGAGACGTTGATGTTCTCTTGACATTTCACGACACGAGATTTCCGGAGGACGTCCGATGGGGCTATGGACCAATGGCTGATGCATAAAAGCTGCATTGAACCTGTTGGTACGACTCTTTTTTTGTTTTTTGTTTCTCCCCCTCTCGTACAACTTAGTTGATCCTCATGCCCTTGACGTACGTATTATTCACACTTCGTATACGTGGCAGAGGGGGGCGTGGCAGTCGATCTTGACGGGCTGTGGCTGGACGGCTGTTTCGGGATACGAGCGACGGCTTACAACTTTGACGGCGGAGTTTTGAAACCTTTTTTCACTTGTGTGGTGGGGGGGGGGGGGGGGGGGGGGGGGGGGGGGGGGGGGGGGGGGGGGGGGGGGGGGGGGGGGGGGGGGGGGGGGGCGT